GAATACCTCAAGCGTGTGACGGAAATGTTATTCCCCTTACCATATTGTGATGCCGTGTCCCGGCCGGAGCAACGAGACAAAAACATTAAAACCCATTACAAACGAGGCATTTGTTGCATCCAGTGGGGACATAATTACTGATTATAATGACTTATACTGTCTTTTTGAACATAAAACATAAAACCCTTTTTATTTTTTAAAAATAAAAAATTGCATTTGTGATCGGAGAAATGACAAACAAAAAGTGCTACTCTAACACATCTGGATATTCGGGTTAAACTGTTCTGGAACAGTGTTGTACATACAACTTAACCACTTATTTGTAGTCATGTCCTCTTTTGGAAGACCAAACAAAGTAGTTTCGCTTTCACAACGAAAAACACGGCGGCCTAGCGTGAGCCGCAGCTTAGCGTGAGCTGAGGCCGGGCTAGAGTGAGCAGAGGTGGCGGGGTTGAGAACGGCGCGGCCGGTGGATCTGACGAAGGAGCGGCAACCACATGTGACGACCCCAGGCTTCCACCTCGTTCACGCTTGGTGAAAGCCGATCCGGTACGCCTTCTTTCTTTGCGTGAACATTTGGGCGGCGTTATGCAAATCTTCCCACATAGTGAGGTAGACATGTGGGGGCGTGTTAGAACGAGCCATTTTAGGTAGATACGCGTATTATAAAGAATATCTCTTTGGATTTGAGACTTTAGTCTTTGCAACTTTACAGATCTTCTTTATGCACCAAGAGCTTGTAACACTCCAAAGAGAAAGGAAAAATTGAAATCGCATCATATGACCCCTTTAATTTTGACAATCAACTAGAAAGAAAAAAACCTCATTAACCGTCTAATTTGTTTCTAACCATTTACTTGAATAGTAACTTGGAACAGCTGTTCTATGCTGTGATGAAATGGCACAGACATTGGTATTTTGGTATTTGGTAATGTACTTATACCAAAAAAATAAAAAAAATCTTTGTATGGAAGTCTATGAGAACACTCGATTCTCAGCCAGTGTCAAATCACCCAAAAAGGGGCGGTACTCCACATAATGAGACTTGGTGCTGATTGGACTATATACTGAGACAGAACAAGCAGTCTACAGTGACTGCAACCGTAACACTGTGGTTGAATGTGATAGAAAAAATCCCTCCCTTTCACACTTTGGTGGTGCGTCGCCCTAATGAAGAAACCTGTTTCACATCATATCACAGACAACTTCAGCAGGCCTGCTTGAATCTGCAGATAAATCTCGGGTTTCCTGGACATTAGATTGGGCTCAGTATAACCCACCTCATTTTGATCCTTGACTGGTGGTCTAATTACCTAAACCATGCAGAGAGGATGGTAGACCTCTGGTAGCACTGAGCAAGATCTATCTGCAACCGCGCCATGGCGTTAACGCACTCGCTAATGAGGCTGCTACACCACACTGCTAATGGCCTTTGTTACATGACAAGCGGAAGAAGGCAGATCACCGCACAGACAATATCAGTGGAAAGTAATTATCACACAGGCAGATTTGACACAAATAGAGAAGGGAATGATTTTGAGGAGAGGAATCCATACATTTCTATAATTCCCTCAGGCAGGTTGGCAGGAATCTCCATCAGGCCTTTTTTACGGCAGTCTACGATGTTGCTGTTGCAGGTGCAGGCGGCGGGGCAGATGGACGCCTGGGGAGCGCATGACCTTGGCTCCGTCTGAGCAGGACCTGAGGAGGGGGAAAAGACGGAAAAATAACAGATCAGGAGGAAAACTGATTATAGACAACATGGTTTAATGACACAAGAAAGCAAATGGAGAACACAGGGAACATTAAAACCATTTTGAGTCAAATATGAACAGAATAACATTCTTTCTGATAGCAGTTATAACTGTAATGTAGCTTCTGTTCAGAAGTGTGAAAATGAATATTAGTTCCAATAACAGCACAAATGAAGACGGGTGAAAATAACTTTTAATACAGCACATAATCAGCGAGAATAGACTCCCTGTTGTTTTATTGTCTAGCTTTGCAGCTTAATTAAGAAACGCTTTTTCTTGCAGCGTGTTTTGTGTTGGAGTATATTCATCAGTTGATTAATCAGAGGGGGAGGAAAAGGGGGCTTAATTAACTAGAGCTGAACGTGAACTTTTTCACCAATGAAACCCAAAGGTCCATTAAGAAATAGAATGTATGGAGTGGCTTTAAAAAACAACACAATGAAAAAGCCCTCAGTGTTTACTTGTAATAGCAAACATTTGCAAATTAATTAATTACAAATTTGAGAAAAGACAGGCAGGGCATTGATGGGTAAAAAAAACAGAAGAAGAGGAAGAGGACGAGGAAGAACTATCATTTTCAATACCATAAAGTGAATGAATGAAAAAAATGAATGAATGAATAAAAATATATGTAAATAAATAAATATCTGTTAGTTATTAACATCAGTGTAAATAAATAAGGTTCTAAAAGCAAGCTTAATTTTCTTGCAAAATATGCTAAATGTAGTTTATAACAATAATATAATTTCTCTTTTTTTTAGTTAACAGGCAGAAGGACATTCTGACAGAGAAAGTGAACACTGTCATACCTGTGCAGACAAATTCTCTCTTTTGAACATCAGGAACATTGAGACCTCTCATATGGGCGGGGGCCATGCACTGTGTGAAAGGGGCCAGCCCTCTTCTCTGCCGCAGCCAATCGGAGAGCCAGGACAGGTGGCAGTCGCAGTGCAGGATGTTGGAGTGCAGGCGACTGGAGAGG